GTTGGGTATGGGTTAATGTTGGACTTGTGGGCTTGGGCAGCATTGGGTTGGGATGTTTTCGTGATGCACATTTTCTTTGCATAAAACTCTCTCTTATACTTGAGTTGCTGTGGATTTGTTTCTCCAAAGTACCTAGACTAATACATTAGGTAAGCACTCCCCTGACAACTAGTCATCGGGAAGCTGCCATCAGAGGGAGAGTCCCGGAGAGCTTACCAACCACTCCCCTCTTGACTCTTCACACCGAGCCCTATAGCTACAGTCCCTGTGCCTTTGGGAATCGGATGTCTGTGTCCTTTCTCCTAAGAGACTCTTCCTCAGCTGGGACCAACACTTATCTCGAGAGGCGGGGTTTCTTTCCCCTGGGTCTGGAGTAGCCTCCTGACTTGCTTTAATCAATAAAATGCGCAGTCTCTAAAAGACTTGAGTGCTTCTTCTTTTGTTTGGGGGGATGTCAGCTACCACTGAAGAAATCAGACCGCCTAAGACTTCCATATTGAACAAACCCAATTTAAACACATGGACAGGCTGCTTGGAGAGAGAGAGAAATGTCCAGCCAACCTCCCAGTCGGTCCAGCCATCCCAGCCCAGGCATCAGATAGGTGATGGGCTCAGCTTATCACGTGCCACACGGAGAAACACCGAGACCCAACTGACAGCCAGAACCAAGGCCCCAAACGGATGCTCCTGAGCCAAAACCAAGGCCGGACTCGGGGCCATCGAGTCAGGGGGGACTCATAGAGATCCCCCCCTGTGGGCTTGTGAGGCTGTAACTGCTTATGGGAATAGAAAGCTCAGCCTTTCTCCCCCAGTGGAGCCAACCTAGTCATTTCCAGTCACTGGGAGCTGAGGTCTCAGACCCTGGGGAGCAAGGTCAAGCCTTTCCCACCGGGGACTGCCTGAGTTCCTTAAATCATGAGCACGAGAAGTAATTTCAGGGTGGCTTGTTCTGTAGCAAGAGGCCTTACTTGTCCTTGGATGAAGACCACGCCAGAAACTCTGTCCATGGTGAGACTGGGTCTGTGTGAAGGAACTCCTGTCCTCATGTGCCTCCCTGTCGAGGTAGCTGTCAGCAGGGTCCCTCTGGAGTGGAGGGAGGCTGGGCAGCTCATACAGTGCTTAAACTCTGGACTAGGAGTGTGAGCCCCGACCAGCCGTCCAAGGTGGTCAGTACACGGAGACCCTCTATTTGGTAGATGAGATTCCCCTGAGCTCGGCCTAGACGCAATTCTCTTGACCCTCAATCTCAAGCTCTGACCACGGGGCCCCTGCCCCCTTCGCTCACTGTGGCTTAGGAATGGCAAGGGATCCTTGACTTGGCTCCCCTTTTTCCTGACCGGGCTCAGCATACGCTCCCAGGCTTCTGCCTGGACATACCTGAAGTCCTTGCCATTGTAGAAGTCCCAGGCGGAGGCGTGGCACACCACCTCCCGCCCATCTGTTGGCTTCTCCAGCATCGACTTGTTCCAGAACTCTGGGGGCACAGGCAGCAGGCCCAGGGAGGTGAAGAAATTGTTGGCTTCCTCAAACATTCTTTTGGGGGTCCAGCCCTACAAGCGGAGAGACTGCTGCTAAAACTGCAGGCCAGGAGGACAGTGCGTACAGATCACAGAGGGAAGGTCTTCGGAGGTGAGAGCCTCCCTCCCCAGTGCCCTGAGGCTGCCCGGGAGGGGGCGAGAGGAGGCGCTGTGGGCCCTGGTACAGACCTGCTTGATCATGGTCTCGGTGACGTCCATCTTGGGAGCGGAAGGGAAGGGCACTACCAAGTCATAGATGTTGGTCCAGGTCTGGGCCCACATGTTCCCTAGAGGTGGGTGGGAGAGGGGTGGTGGAGGGAGGAGAGACTGTTACTACGTAGGCTCCCTCACCACAACCAGTCCAGGCAGGAAGCAGGAACTGTCCTGCTAATCAGAGGAGTGTCTTGGGAAGGCCTCCTGCTGGCCAACAGTGCTGGGTATGAAACAGACATCATTTTCAGTTTGCAGCTGAACCCTGCAAGGCCGATTACTGTAGTGGATGATGGAGGATGTTGTTTCCGGCCACTGGGTAAGTCAGGCGCTCTTCCCTGTACTGGGACCATTGAAGGCCAATGTGACTAGCCCTTGTTTATAAGGAAACTGCGGTCGCTGGAACATCTATGCATCTACCACTTAGTGAGCATTGCACCAAGCACATTATGTGGACAAACCTGCAGTCCTCACTGCAGCTGGCTACTGCTACGGTTCTCATGGTGCCACAGAGGGGACTGGGGCTTGGAGAGTTGAGTAACCGACCCATGGACCCAAGAATACTAATCAATGGGGCGGGCATTTAAAGGCAGTCAAGCGCCTGCCTCCAGAGCCTCCGCTCTCGGTCAACCCCTCTGCCATGTACCACGTAGAGGGCATGGTCTGAGGTTGGCTGATACAGGCCACCCATCAGTGGCCCTGAACTTAGGCTAAGAGAAGAGAGTCCAGGTCTCCAGCTTTGGAGAAAAAGAAGACAATAATAGTATCAAAAGAGAACTATTCAGGAATGCATCTGAAGTAGAGATTCCTTCACACGCAAGGGAGGTTAAACTTAAACCGGCACCAGGTTGGAGTCTAAAGCTCAAACCAGAGTGAGGGAAGGATTTCAGGCATGAATAAGACCGTGAGCAATCACTACTTTCTTTTTTCTTTGTTTTTTTTTGTCCCCCACCCCCAGTTTCTACTACTTTCTTGCTGGTCACCAAGGAGCTGAGTTCTAGCCCCAGTTCTGCCTAGGCTCCCAGGACCACCCTAGGTATGGGTCTCCCCTTCTTGGGGCCTTTGTTTCTCTGTCATGGCAGGGATGCCCCCCCTGGTGCTCTTTAGTTCCCCCAGAGAACAGCTGAGGAGGGTTAGTCTTGGGCTATAAAAACTCTCCAGGCTTTCAAACTTTGGTATAAATAAACTTGCACAAATGTATATTTAAGACTTGACAGAAATATCAGAAATGAAAAAAAAATACTAGATGAAAATGATTAGTGCTTGTGTAACTTCATATAAAATATAGTGAAACATATCTATTTCATTCTCCTAGTAAGACTGATTAATAAAATGTAAAGTTGGATAACAACAACAACAAAAAACTCTCTAGGTTGAACAGAAAATGCTGCTCAAAGTTGGACCCATTTGGTTGGCCCAGGTTCTGGGCCTCCCATCTGATTTGTCAATGGTTTGTGACCCCCTCTTGCTCCCAGGACTGTGGGTGCTGTAGCCCTCTAGAAAGTATTTCCCATGGCCTCACAGGGACCAAAAGCTGGTCACCGTGCCCTCTGCTCCAGTCCCTGCCGCTCCTTATTGTCTCCCACATCCTATTTTGCACATCTAGTCGCCGGCCCTAGGCAGTGATATGTGCAACCCCTGAAAACCGAGGATTCAAGCTGAGCTGAATCTATACCTTCTTGAGTTTCTCCCTTGTTCTCAGTTCCCTCAGCCTAAAGACTGAGTCAATTGACTCCCCAGTCCCCCATTTTTCACTATCAAAACCCCTTATCTTTGAAGGTCCCCCTCCAATGACATCTCTGGGTGAAGCCTGCCCAGCTCCCCCCACAGCAGCCCCCTGACCCTACTATGACCTGGCGCCTCAAGTACGGGCTGGCTCCCGAGGTCTCCCCTGGAAAGCCTGGGAACACTTGGCCATGGCTGGGCTGACCCTCACCCCCTCACCCAGCAGGTGCGCAGGGATGGGGCCCTCCAGGTGGATGAAGTCGGGCCCGTAGTGGCGGTGCAGGGCGCGGCGCACGTAGGCGTGCAGGTTCAGGTAGAGCGGCTGCAGCTCCGTGAACAGCTGCTCCAGGTCGCGTTCCAGCAAAGGCGTCTCATACATAGCTCTCCACGAGTCCCCTGTGTCTTTGTAGCCTGCAGAGGGGACACAGCCCAGTTCTCAGAACATCTGCCTGCCTCCTCAGGGGGGCCTTGCTTCCCCAGGGTGAGGGACTCGGAGGGAGCCCAGGGACACTCTCTGGAGATCAGAAAGCAGGTGGTGCTGGCGCGAGGGACTCACCGTTGAGCCTGGCAGCCTTGTTGCTGAGCTCCACGTATTTGGGGAAGAAGGGCAGGATGGCTCTGCCCACCTTGTCTCGCCATCCCTGCCACGCCCATAAGAGGTCCTCATAATTCTGGGACGTGGCCATCAGCTTCGTCAGCTCTGGAGGGGCAGAGAATTCAATGGCCCGAGTCCCCAGCCCATCCCCTACCTCCTGCCTCCTCATGAGCTGGGGAATGCAGAGCTGGAAAAAAACTGGGGTGATCCCGTGGAAGGGTCTCTACTGGTGGCAAAGCTAGTGACATGAGAGGAAAAGTGTGGGGGATATTTGCCAGGAGCGCAGGCGTGCGGCTGGCAGGCAGCTGCAGAGACAACCACCCGCGAGGTGGGCTACAAGCGGAAAGGGGCAGAGCTAGGGTGCCAAGCAAAGGCACCAGATCCAGAGCTGCTGCTCCCCCTTATTTGTCCCTGCTCACCACCCCTCCCCTGGGGCGATGTGACCAGGATGCCAGCTACAGGAGTTCGCCTGTTCCTGTCACTAACCGCCAAGATCTCCTTGGGCAGGTCCCCGGGCAACTCTTTCCTGTCTGTAACATGGCCAGAAGATGGGCCCTGGCAAGGTCTCTGGGTGACACACATGATTTCTACTCAACAGTAATCTCATAGTTGGCAGTCGGAAGCCATCCCGTGGTGCCACAGAATAACGGGGCTGGCAGTCTGCCATACGTGCCAAAATGGACTCATTGCAATGACCACTCTGACTGTCCCTACTGTCCCCACCACCGCTATCACCATCACCATCACCAGCACCATCACTGCCGTCACCGTCACCACCACCACCACCACCACCACCTTCGCCATCACCATCACCACCACCACCACCACCACCATCACCACCACCACCACCATCACCACCATCATCACCCTCACCATCACCACCACTACCACCACCATCACCATCATCATCATCATCACCACATCTCTATCTTCATCAAAGAGACTAACCAGAATTCATGTGAAACCAGAGACTGTTGAGGAGATGAAGGTCTACAAACAAACAGAAACCCTGGTGGCCAAATGCTGCAAGGTCAGCTGCTGACTGATGTCCAGGATGCTAAGGCACCAGTGGCTCCGAGGGAGAAAAGAGCTTGGGCTTCCCCTGCAAACCTGGTGGTGGTGGTGTTGTTTCTACTTGGTCCTCTGGGTGCCCCGTGAGTCAGAATCAACTTGACACCATCCAACAACAACCAGATCTGAAACCCAGTTAATGGTTCCATGTAATGCCGACTTCCTGGGGTCGCCTTCAGATACCACCTGTAGACATAAGACATAGGGTAAGGAGTTGGGTGAAGGGCCTAAGGCAGTCAATGCACTAAAGTTGCAACTTCTTGTGAGCCTAAAGCAATTTAAAAATAAAACACAAGAATATAAAAGCCAACCAGATCGCTCCATCCACAGGCAATGGATCTTGGCCTCATAAGCAACATAATTGTTTCTGGCTGAGGATAGCCACAGAAGAGGAGGAAGAGGAAGATGAAGAGGAATATTTAGAGGTCAAAGGTGACTGGAGGGAGGACAGACGAGCCACTACTAACTGCTGCTCTGGAGGGTCTTGCTAGCAGAGATTAATTAGCTGCCTTGTCTGAACGTCACTGCAGGAGAGGCACTGCTACCTTCTTGTCCCTTCATTGCTGTGCTCACGGCTCCGGTCCAGGAAGGAACATGCTATTGGTCCGTCTACTGGAGCCAGGGTGTGGGGAGGGAGACATCTGGGCAGTAGTCTCACTGGGCTGAAGTCAGGGCTTCTGCATTATGGGACTGTGGCCCCCAATCGTTGGCTAAATAAGACCATCATGTCCCTAGGGATGAGTCAGAAGGAAGCATGGGGACAGGGATAGGTGGGGCACATGGACGGGAGGGACGGATGGGGTTTCCACCCATGGGTGGTACTCCGTGTTCTCCCATCTTTGGGAAGCCCTTTCCCCTTAGCTTTGCAAATGTCTCGGTTGCTATTGAGTGGAAGCCTGGAATGTCCCACTGGACTTGGAAGGG